ATTAGTTTGCGATTGTCAGATATTAATCTATGTGTGGCGGGTATTAATCTGCGATGGTCAGATATTAGTCTGTGTGTGGTGGGTATTAGTCTTTATAGTTAGGATATTATTTACGATCTGAATGTATATTAGTCTTAGGCGATGGGATATTAGTCCGGGTGTTGTGGATATTTGTTATGGTGAACGGATATTATTTTGGGTGGTTTGGATTTGTTTTGTGTGAATGTTTACCTATGTTTGTATTGAAATTTAGTTTAATTAGCGATTAAGGTTTAGAGTTTATGTGTAATTGGTATTAGTTTGTGATGTTCAGATATGAATCTATATGTAGTGGGTATTAGTTTTCGGTGGTAAGATATTAATCTGTGTGTGGTAGGTATTAGTCTGATACGGTCCGATAATAGTCTGGGTGGTTTGGATCTTTGTTGTATATGCTTATATCAATTTAGGGTTTGGTGTAAGGGTTTAGGATTTAGAATTAGGGTTTACAGTTTAGAGTTTGGAGTTTAGGGGTTAGGATTCGCATTTGGGGTTTAGGGGGTTGGGGTTTAGGGTTTGGGGTTGAGGTTTAGAGTTTAGGGTTCAAGCTTTGTGTTAGTGTTTAGGGTTAGGGTTTCAGGTACAGGGTTCGAGTTTTGGTTTCAGGTTTAGAAGACGATAATGTGGAAATGGTTTTGAACACAATGTATGGTGGTTCGATTTTTGTCTGTGGTGATAAGATATTATTATGTGATTGGAGGATATTAGTATGAGATGTGTGGATATGTTGGCTGTGTAGTCTGATATTAGTCTAAGACAGTTAGAAATTAGTCTTTGAGCGATTATAACTTTTCCAAACAATTAGTAGTCAAAGTCATTCCGACATGGCGATTATAACATTCCAAACAAAAAATAGTACTTAAGAAAATTCTTTGTTCAAGTGTGGGATTGCTGTTCCAAAATGTCGATTTTGGATCTTTTCCCGCCTCGATGATATCTTGACCTCACAGCGATTAAATGTGTTTAATTGATTACTAAATGTGGGTAATTGATTAAATGTGTTTAATTGATGACTAAAGGGAAAAACAAACCGATGAATCGTGAAGAGGCAAAGAGATTGAGGATATTAGTCTGGGCTTTCAGGATATACTTTGGCACACAAAAAGTATTAGTCTGAGCTTTAAGGATATTATTCTACATAAAGACGGATATTTTTCTCGGAGGCTACGGTATATTTTTGAATAAGAATTTATGTTGGTAATTATATCCAACATTTGACAAAATATTATCCATCTTGCTACAAACCAACATCCTTCCCTAAATATTATCTAACCCTAAGTTCAGTTTTACAAACCAATATCACACTACACAAATCTAAAATAAACTTTTCTTCCTTTTCCCTCATCGTCTTGGTCATCACTTTCTTCATCCTCAATTTCTTGGTCCTCATTTTGTTGTTGTTGTTTGGCACATTTAGGCCTAAAGGTTTCGCCTTCTGATGTTGTCCTCATTGCAGTTGATTTAGTTCTTGTCATTGCAGCTGGACTTCACATAACGAATACCCCAACCATCAGAAGTAATATCAAACAAGTCATATCTAAATATATCAAGCAACTATCCAGGCAATTCACAAATGATATCGTGGTCGACCAAAACCAATATCAATGTAGGAATATCCAGATATATCAAACAACTATCCAGGCAATTAAAAACTGATATCCTGCCCGAACAGAACTAATATCGAAACGCACACAAAACATATCCAAAAAACAAAGCAACCCAGATCCAATCAAATCCACAAAATCCACAAACAAAGCAACCCAGACCCAGATCCAGTCACATCGACAAACCCAGAAAACATATCCACATAATCCAAATATATCAAACAACTATCTAGGCAAATCACAAATGATATCATGGTCGACCAAAACCAATATCAATGTAGGAATATCCAGATATATCAAACAACTATCCAGGCAATTTAATACTGATATCCTGCCCGAACAGAACTAATATCGGAACGCACACAAAACATATCCACAAAACCCAGAAAACAAAACAACCCAGATCTAATCAAATCCACAAAATCCACAAACAAAGCAACCCAGACCTAGATCCAGTCACATCCACAAACCCAGAAAACATATCCACATAATCCAGAAAACACATCCACAAACCCAGAACGCACACAAAACATATCCACAAAACCCAGAAAACAAAGCAACCCAGATTTAATCATATCCACAAAATCCACAAACAAAGCAACCCAGTCCTAGATCCAGTCACATCCACAAACCCAGAAAACATATCAACATAATCCAGAAAACACATCCACAAACCCAGAAAACATATCCACATAATCCAGAAAACACATCCACAAACCCAGAAAACATATCCACATAATCCACAAAAGAAAGCAACCCAGATCCAGTTAAATCTAAGTTACCAGAAAACAAATCCATCAAACTCATACAAAAAACGCAGAAAAAGAAAAACCCAGATCTAGTTGAATCCATGAAACCCTAACTTCAAACACTACTTGTTTCTTTGAAACACAAAATCAGAATCCAAGAAACAAAATCAAAAGAAAAATAGAACAATCTTCAGAAACTCGATTGAATCACAATAAGCAAGGTGAAGAATAAACTAGAGAGAGAGAGAGAGAGGGGACACGGTTACCGTCGTCTTCTTCCTTCAAGCACAGCCACCGTGGCCGACAACTTCTTCCTTGTCGCGATACCGTCGTCGTCGTCGTTTTCACAGTCGCCGTCGTCTGCTTCGTTAGAGTCGAAGAGTGGTTCTGGTTATTATTGGGAGAAAAGAGGAGGAAACAAAAAAGTTTTTGAGGAGAGAGAATGAAAACTGACGAAGTGATTTGAAGAGAGAAGGAGACTAAGAAAAGGCAGTCATTTTTTTGAATTTGTGGGCCCCTTTGGATAGTGGAATTAGGGCAGCCGATGGACTCGGCTCTCTTCCTCTCACAAATCGGCGCCAATCCTTCTCCACCGTCCGATCCGGCTCGACGACGTGGCCATCTATCCTACCCTGTCAGTATCTCCTAACAAAATGGCCTGTTAGGAGCATATCTAGATTGCCTCTATCGACACAAACTCGGCCACTCACCCGTTTCTCCTTTTCTACCTTCTCCATTGCTGCTCAAATAAGCCCAATCAGCCATTAACCCACACACACAAACCCTCCCATCTTATTCCAAGTTCCCACCACCTCCCATCTAATTTCAATCAGCCATACATAACCTACAACCATCGCCTCCCTTGGTAACTCATAAAAAGCTTAGCGAGACACTCTTTTCCTCAGGCAGATGCGTTGCCGTCAGCGCCTCTTCTCCGACACCTTGTCATCGTCCATTCCAGACCCTTCTTCTCAGTGGCTCTCAAGGTTTAGCTGTCACTCCTCTTCCTTGTTCTGAAGATCCGGATGGTTCGGTCTCAATTTCATTCTTCAATTTTGGATTTGGAGTTGGAATTTCGGCTAGGGGTGAATTTAGGGTTTGTAACTGATCAAATTAAAATTTTTGGCCCAGTCAAAGATTCTGCTTCTAGTTTTGTATTCTTTCTCTATTCAAGAACTCACAATTGTTTCTAGAATGATTACTTGACTATCGCTTCTCTTCCGAAGAGTTCAGTTTTACCGGGTTCTCGTGCTCGAGGAGAAGGTAACAATTATCGCTTTATTGTAGTTTCTTGCAAGTTTTGTAACTTACCAGTTTTCAGTTTTCACTCTCTTGTCTATTTTGTAGTTCTGTTGTGCTGCTAGTGTGGTATGCTTGCTTTAGTTTATAAATTAAAGGCATCCATACTGCCTGGTTTTAGTCTGATTGAGTTTGGTGAACGAGGTGAAATTTTTTATGACTTGTGCCTTAAAGAGAGCAAGTACGTAGTTGTAGTTTCAAATATCTTCAAGTGAGTACAGTTTTCATGGGTGTATGAAGCCATACTAGAGGTTCTTGTAGAAGGATATCTTGGGTTAGCTCTCATGAGTTTCAAAGACACAATTCAAGTGCATTTACTTGAGCATTCAAGATTTTTTTAAAATTTTGATATTTTTTACTTGTTTGTAGTGCATAAGCTAGTATATTTTGTTTGTGCCTTGGACAATAAGAAGAAAGAGTGTGTGGTTGAGATTAGTGATGCAGGGGCTACCATACCGCTATTGATGACTAATCAACATTCTGAACCATTGGGCATCTGCCTACCATTGTACCTTCCCTTTTCTATTTTTGAATGTTCATGATCTAGTTTAGGTAAGTAGAGAGAATAGTGTCCATCCTGTGATCACTCAAGGCCATAATTGTTATCTTTTGATTCTTTTTACTGCTTCCATGATTCATTCTGCTCCTTGATTTTTTGATTTCTTCCTCACTATTTAGCATCAAAATCATTTCTTTAACAGTAGAAAATTACCTCTGTCAAATTCTTGGTCACAAATTTACAGCTTCAGCTCTATATGTCATGTACGGTTCTTAATCAAAATCACGTAATGGGGTTGGTCTGCTGCTGCCTGCTACTACTGCTGCTATTTGCTCTATTGTTTCTGTTTTGTGGGTGTCTCAATTTTGGTATCTTGCTTCTCTAATCTGTATGTCCCAGCACCAGTAGAAACCTCTATGCTAATGATTCTGTGATCAACTGTCTCTGGTGCTCTGTAATGGCTTTAGTGGCTAATTCTGGTGCTCTTGGAATGGCAGGAGCAAATCTAGTAACAGTTTCTTGAAGTCATACTCAGAAAGTGATGTTTTTGTATGGTAATGCTTGTTTTTCTTGCCTTTTAACATCTCTGTTCGTTGCTCTGCCAAAAAACTTCAGTCAATAAGCTGTCGTAGGTTGAATATTTTGGATTTTGGTAATTCAATCTTGTCATGTTCAGCTAGTTTTTTTTTTTTTTGTTTCCCCGGGTCCTACGCTGCATCTTCTTATGGTTTCCCCTTAATTTATTTGTACTTTCTCAGTGCATTTTATGGAATTCCAGTTTCTGTTGTTGCAGAGATTAATGAGCTAGGATCCCCTACATTCATTTGTTCGCCGTTTTGTGTTTTTTGGTGTGGCCTAGCTCTTACTTTACTAACTAACGATCTATTTGAAAAGTTTCTCTTGTCTAGTTGACTTTCAAGTTTCAATTAGACTCTTGGTTGCAGTTTGGACTCCATTGAGTGTCAATACCTGTGCGGTTCTAAAGGTTAGTGCACTTTTCTGTTCGCTTAATTTGTGTTTGCTTGTCGTCTCTTTTCTCCTATATTGATTGTATCTTTTTATTTGCAGAAATTTGTGGGGGCTTTTGTATCAGAATAGTTTTTTCTGCAGAGATGAGTTGGAGTTCGAGCAAGACGCAACAAAAAAAATAACGTAAGTATTTACTTGGATAAATTAATGAATGGGTAAATGGCCTTATTTTGTTCACACTCTTCAGAGTTGTTCGTGTCATAATTTGGTAGATTAGTTTTAATTGAGAATCAAATGTTACTATCTGTGCAACTCCCCTCATTGTTGATATCAACAAACACAAAGTAACGTGCTTTTAGAGCATCCTGCAGTGATGGAGATAAGTTCATCCAAGATTATGTAACATTAGTTAGAATATTGATCAATTTCTAATTTTAAGTCTTTTACTATGTTTTTTCAGGACGGGAGACTTGAAGATTCGGGAGTTGGATATTTTAGCTATTCTTATATAAAATAGAAGTATAGACCAAAGATTTGGCTAACTTTAGATGATTTGGTCAGACATTGTAATTGAATTCCATTTAGTTGGAGTTTCATGCACAATAAATAGTTTTTCAATTATATGTTAGTTAACTTTGATTATTAATTGGTATTTGAACTAATTGTGTTGACAATAATGTTAAGAGTTTCATCCTACAAAAGTTGGTCTTTTCAATTGTATTTTAATGTATATGATTATTGATTCGTAAACAATATGCTACAAATCCCTAATCAATATAGAAATAGCCAAATACTGTGACAAATGACAGATATATAGTCATGGGAAATAATTTATCACGGTTAATACTGTATTAATTGAAACACATCCCTTTTTTAAATATTCTTTTTTCTTAAATATGTTCTCCAAAACTTGACATTAGACACGGTTTTTCCTGTGATTAATAGGTACAAATGATCATGGGAAACGACACCGTGACTAGTGACTAGTTATAACTAGTCACGGTATACAACTAGACACAGAGCTTTATATTACGGTAAATTTCCCGTGACTAAACTCATTAATCACGGGAAAATGGCTTTTAAACACCGGGTTTCCCGTGATAAAATAACCTTTTTTCTGTAGTCATGTATGGTACTTAACTACTTCATTACACACCCCCTCAAACGAAAGCCGACTCATGGGCTTGAAGTTTGTACAGGCCCGCCATACCATGTGCTTGAAAGACAACGGTTAATATTGGAGGCCGTGAGGACTTGAACACGTGACCTCACAAACAAACCAACTCCGATACCATGTCATAAACTAGTTAGTCCCAATAACTCTAGTTGTTGAGAGAAAATTATATTCGATCTTATACAGACCATATATGGTACTTAACCACTTTCTTACGAGCAAAACCGACGGCGACGATGTGCCCGCTAATTCTAAGTTCTGCCAAGTCCTCACAGCGTATCTGTCCAAGTTGGGAACCAAAGGGGAAAAGCAACAACCTGCAAATGCTCCCACGACTTGCTCACTGCCTCTGGGGTGAAGCAAGACCGCCTCTAGCAGACTGCAGAATACCAATAAAAGCCGACTGCAGCAAGTAATTATTAAGTCCTCCATTTTTCGATTCAGCTTGATTCGATCCCATTATTAGTTCTTTATATCGCCATCGCTAACATCGTCGATCATACTAGCTAGTGCTTCTTATATAATTGTATCAATATTATTATTTGCCCCTGCAAGATTAATTAAGTGGATGATCCTTGCTTAACATGATTCTTCACCGATCAGCCGCGCGCACATGCAAGGAGTTCACTTTCCAGGAAGAAGAAAAATTACATGAAACAAGTCAAAGAACACTAGCTTTTTTACCCGGCCCGTTGGCTGGAGAGTTTCATTTTATCGTTGACATTAATTCAATTTATCTATATGTTTAAACTATTTTAGACCTTCTAAATTTATTATATTTTGTATTGATAAGTGAGTATGTGGTGTGTCTATATATTGAAAATTCTCAATACTTGGCACATTCACTTATAATGTTTGAATTCTCTAATCACAAACCATGTAACAAAGGTATACCACGTCCCATGTACAATTTTTTCTATCTTATATGAATCCACGTTGTTCAGATGAGGACATCTTAGTTAGAGTTTCTTTGTACATATACTTCATTATTGGATAAATTTCTTCATCCCAATTAAAAGTTGACACTTTGGATGTTCATGAAGTTTACTGTAAGATCTTATTTGTATTTAGTCTCTTATACAATATGTATCAATTGCTAATTTCTGAAATTTAATTTGGACTAATTGAGACTCATTGTCGTTGTTTATATATTATTTTAGAATCACAATCCAAGATACTCACATACAGATTTTGATCTTAATATGGTGCGTTAGTGTATAATTTTACAACTTGTAGAACCTTCGTTTTCTAAAATTCATTTATGTTTGGTATTTGTTTAGAAATAAAAATTTCATTACTTATACTAATATATGCATTTTTCTGTATGGCCACATTTATTGTCAATATATAGCATATATATTAAAAAGAGTTTAATTATTTTTAAGTGTAATTAATACTTGTTTTTTACCGGGATTTGTAAAATGTTAAGAAAATAAGGGGAAATATGAACCATTGTAAAAGAAAATAAGGAATGGAAGTACACATTATAAGTGAGAGAAAAATTATTCTTACTTATCATCTTCATTTATCCAATGAGGTGATCTATTCTTGCTCCATTGAATTTTTATCAAATTATTTTATTCCGTAAATATATTATTAGTTATGCATGTGTTTTATTGCAAAAAAAAAAAAAGTGCATGTGTTTGCTAAGAAAGATCATACCGATGATCAACTTCTCTAATCTTGCCTCATTTTCATGTGAATGTTCATGAAGTCTCCTAACGATTTTATGTTAACATATGTCTATCAATAGACCCAAATTTAGTATATTGTATAACAAAGTAAATACATTTTATTAACCAAATCTTTCAAAAAAAATTCAAAATACAAAGTATTAGCCAAATGTTAACTCCCCGTTAGCATTTTTGTTAATGTTGACTCAACAACATGATGATGAGTTGGAAGAGACACGTGACGGTCTATAATCCAATTTAATATTTTAATTAAAAAAGAGTTACAAAATTATTAATGATAACAAACAAATGGTTAATATTTTGATGTGATACAAAATATTTGGCTAATAATTTGTAGTTCGAAAGGTTTGGCTAATAATTTAAAAAACTGAAAGGTTTGGCTATTTAAATGTTATTTACTCAATATGTATCAATTGCTAAGTTGTCTCCTCCCAAATTTTGTCACGAACGCTACTGAAGTTCTATACCAGATATGCTCTGTCCAATCCTCACCTTTGTCCACCAATTCACGACCCATATAGTAACATGGCCAGCTGAATTTTAAATTGTCCTTCTGCACCATTTCTCACATGCGCCACCAAATTGTTGACATAGTTAGTTTCGTCTACCCGGTTATCTCCACTCTCTATTGCATTTAACACCCGTTATTTGGTTTGCTTTCCTTCACTCAAAATTTCTTCTCCTAACGAAAAATCAAAAGGTGTTGAATTGCCATAGATAGATAGATAGACAGATAGATAGATGTTAAACCTTTATTTGATTAATGCATAGGTCAGTGGTTGATGAGCACATGATGTTTAACATACAGTTTAGCAAAGATTCATCTAACTTTCACATGTATCATTTTTTATTGTATCTCGTGTCTCATCTTAAGATATGAAGTCAAGTTCATAAACAATCATACCAAAGTCATTTTGAAAATTTTGATTTATAATCATTGAAAATTTATTACTCCAAGTTTGAAAATTAAATTTCTTAACGTATGACGTAAAACTTCAGTAGAGTTTGCTCAATTAACACGATCTAGAGCAAAAATGCAAAATATTCGTAATTTGAACTTAGGATACATTGTAAATTATTGCACCTATGATTCATATGTCTTCACTTAATTAGAATGAATAAGGTTTTTTTTAAGAAATAGATTTTATTGCTTGGTCAAGTTTCTATTCAAACGTTTCTTGTTTTCTCTCTTTAATTTCTATCTTTATTTTGTCGCGATAAATGTTATTATGTATGTGTGTTTGTATAAATTGTTCATTAAAATGTAACATATTTGTAAATTATTGTAAAAGTGAGTTAAAAATTTACTTAGTGAGCTTTAATAAGATATTTTTTTGGTTGAGAAAAAAGTTATATGTATGACTCAAAGACATTAGTTTATTGTTGTATACATCGATACAATGCAAAAGTAAAAACAAAAACATAAAGGAAGTATTGGAAAAGAAAAATAAATATTAAAAAAGTTAGAGATAACAAATGTAATATATGTCACTTTTCATACATTATTTATTATTGTATACATTGATATAATACAAAAAAAAAAGATAAAAGAGAAATGAAATATTAAATGAAGAGAGAGATAACTCCATAAAAATATCAATAACTATTTTTCTTTTTGTAAAAATATTGTCCACCTTGGCAATTTGTGAACTCTCCAAGTGCTTAGGTGGCAAACAATTACTTTTGAATTGCCATAATATTATGTATAGATATCTATAGTATTATATGTTAGGAACGGAACAACAACAAGGAATGGGGTTACTGTATTCTATGCTTATTTTCTAAATATTTTGTAACATCATAAATTCAATTACTATTAATATATCGTTATAATTTCACAACTATAGCTATTATGCAAATCTTTTCTTAATAGCTTCATTTTAATTTTGAATACTAATGGTAGAAAGTGACAATTTATAGCCTACTTAATGTGAACGGCTATTTGCCGGCAACCAAATTGCTAATTGCCGCCAACTAAAAAAAAAAATTGAATTCAAAATTTGAATTTTCCCTTCCTTTCATTCTATAAATTCGGATACCATTAACATTTGACTCATTCCAACAAAAACTTCTGTGGACGAGCCTAGTGCCTCCGTCGCCGGCACCGTTCCTCCGTCGCCGGCCAACCTCCCGTCCCCCTCAATCGTCGGAAAACAAGTAAGTTTACTTTTTCCGACAAGTTTTCCAATTTTTCGGCAAGTTTTCCAATTTTCCGTCGAAAAACACGGCGGGTCAAAAAACAATTACGGCCGATGCGTCGCCTGGCCGAAAAAAAACAGATTAGTGAGCACATTATTAGAGTCCTTTTGCAAACAGATATGGTACCCACGCTGTTAGCTCCGTGAAGCGCAAACTATATCGCACCCATTTCACCCATCCCATCCAATCTTGTCTTGTAATTTCTGTTGTATATCTGTTTGATATCATGATGCACACCCCTTCAGTATTGGGTGTCGTCTTCTGCTGATTTGGTCTCATCCCCCCCTTCCTTATTAATCTTAACCTCTCTTTTTTAGCCTCACTAAACTGTTTGTTGTGTCGGTGATGTTCTGGATACAACACCTTTTCATGGTCTCATCCCCCCCTTCCTTATTAATCTTAACCTCTCTTTTTTAGCCTCACTAAACTGTTTGTTGTGTCGGTGATGTTCTGGATGCAACACCTTTTCATGGTTTTGGGAATTTGGCGCTGGACTGAAGTTTTGCTTTGTGGAGTTTGGTTGGAGTTTGTTTGATAGTAAGAATGGCTGCTATCAGTATGAAGATTGAGAAGTTTACCGGAAGAAACAGTTTCAGTTTGTGGCAGATCAAGATGCAAGCAC